CAAGACATGATGACAAAGTGAAAGCAAGATATGATGACAAAATGAAAGCAAGACACGATGACAAAGTGAAAGCAAGACATGATGACATAGTGAAAGCAAGACATGATGGCAAAGTGAAAGCAAGACATGAGGACAAAGTGAAAGCAAGACATGATGACAAAGTGAAAGCAAGACATGGTGACAAAGTGAAAGCAAGACATGATGACAAAGTGAAAGCACGAGATGATGACAAGTGAAAGCAGCACATGATGACATAGTGAAAGCAATACATGATGACATAGTGAAAAGTGAAAGCAAGATGATGCCAAAGTAAAGACAAGACATTTTGACAAAGTGAAAGAAAGACATGATGACAAAGTGAAAGCAAAACATGATGACATCATGAAGGCAAGACATGATGACAAAATGAAACCAAGACACGATGACAAAGTGAAAGCAAGACATGATGACAAAGTGAAAGCAAGACATGATGACAAAGTGAAAGCAAGACATGTTGAAAAAGTGAAAGCAAGATATGATGACAAAGTGAAAGCAAGACATGATGACAAAGTGAAAGCAAGACATGATGACAAAGTGAAAGCAAGACATGATGACAAAGTGAAAGCAAAACATGATGACATCGTGAAGGCAAGACATGATGACAAAATGAAACCAAGACACGATGACAAAGTGAGAGCAAGACATGATGACAAAGTGAAAGCAAGACATGATGACAAAGTGAAAGCAAGACATGATGAAAAAGTGAAAGCAAGATATGATGACAAAGTGAAAGCAAGACATGATGACAAAGTGAAAGCAAGACATGATGACAAAGTGAAAGCAAGACATGATGACAAAGTGAAAGCAAGACATGATGACAAAGTGAAAGCAAGACATGATGACAAAGTGAAAGCAAGACATGATGACAAAGTGAAAGCAAGACATGATGACAAAGTGGAAAAGAAAGACAAAGCAAGATGATGACAAAGTGAAAGCAAGAGATGACAAAGTGAAAGCAAAGACATGATGACAAAGTGAAAGCAAGACATGATGACAAAGTGAAAGCAAGAGACGATGATGACAAAGTGAAAGCAAGACATGATGACATAGTGAAAGCAAGACATGATGACATAGTGAAAGCAGCACATGATGACATAGTGAAAGCAATACATGATGACATAGTGAAAACAAGATGATGGCAAAGTGAAAGCAAGATGATGCCAAAGTAAAGACAAGACATTTTGACAAAGTGAAAGAAAGACATGATGACAAAGTGAAAGCAAGAGATGATGACAACTGAAAGCAACACATGATGTCATAGTGAAAGCAAGATGATGGCAAAGTGAAGCAAGATGATGACAAAGTAAAGACAAGACATGATGACAAAGTGAAGGTAAGACATGATGACAAAGTGAAAGCAACACATGATGACAAAGTGAAAGCAAGACATGATGACAAAGTGAAAGCAAGACATGATGACACTGTGAAAACAAGACATGGTGAAAAAGTGAAAGCAACACATGATGTCATAGTGAAAGCAAGAGATGATGACAATTGAAAGCAACACATGATGACATAGTGAAATCAAGACATGATGACAAAGTGAAAGCAAGACATGAAGGCAAAGTGAAAGCAAGACATGATGACAAAGTGAAAGCAACACATGATGACAAAGTGAAAGCAAGACATGATGACAAAGTGAAAGCAACACATGATGTCATAGTGAAAGCAAGATGATGACAAAGTGAAAGCAAGACATGATGACAAAGTGAAAGCAAGACATGATGACAAAGTGAAAACAATGACAGTGAAATGACAAAGTGAAAAGACATGATGACAAAGTGAAAGCAAGACATGATGACAAAGTGAAAGCAAGACATGATGACAAAGTGATAGCAAGACATGATGACAAAGTGAAAGCAAGACATGATGACAAAGTAAAGCAAGATGATGACACAGTCAAAGCAAGACATGATGACAAAGTGAAAGCAAGACATGATGAAAAAGGGAAGTATTCAGGTTAGTGTTAGCGAAACAAACAAGACCATTGACCTCCGTCGTCTTGCTTCGAGCTCCAGGAGTGAGTGAGTTTAGTTTTACGCCGCGCCGCGAGATCCAGGAAACTTTTGATAGGTCTGATAATATTTTCATACCTTAACAAACAATTTTAAAGCATACTGACAGGAGTTTTACTTCTAAATATACTCTCCCAAAAAAGAAACGCATATAGGAATTTCAACTGTATTTTTATGTTTATTTTGAAACATCTTGTAGGCTTTATGAGTCAATGAAATATAGCGAAATTGCACACTGGGAATGCAGACTTGTCCGTCTTTGGCACCAACTCGAGGAAAGTCAGTTTGAGTGTCACATCGAGACGTGTGGTGGCGCTGAAGTCAGTACCTCGTGTGATCACCGTTGGCATCCAGAACTGCACGGCATCGCCTCGGCATCGAACGAATAAGTCTCAGAATCTCGTGTTGCCCAATCGCAGCCCACTCTGCCGGTAGTGCCTGTGCGATTGCTGAAGTGTCTAGGGCTGAGGGTTACGGCGTCGCACCCGTCTGTCCAGGGCATCCCACAGATGTTCGATCGGGTTTATGTCCGGTGATCTTAAGGGCCAGGGGAGCACATTGATGTTGTGGTTCTGGAGGAAGTCTCTAGTGTGACGTGCTGTGTGGGGCCTGGCATTGTCCTGTTGAAACAACTCCCTCTGGCGATCAATGATTGGAAGGAGGTGTGGGCGTAGGATTTCGTCACAGTACCGTTGAGCTGTCAGGTTGCCCTGAATTATCACCAAATCACTTAACCTACGGCAGGTGATCGCTCCCCACATCATAACACTTCCCCGACCGAATCTGTCCACCTGGGGAACGCAAACGTCGGCGAAACGTTCTCGTCGACGTCTGTACACCCGCATTCTTCCATTGCGTCGTTCCAATAGAAATCGTGATTCATCACTGAACCAGATTCTACGCCAATTCGGTAGGTTCCAGGCCTGAACGTTGGTGCACCATTGAACTCGATGTCGACGATGTTGTTGTCGAAGCACAGGGCCAAAATAAGGTCTTCTGGCACGTAAACCAGCCTCACTCAACCTGTTCCTGACGGTCTGTGCAGAAAGCCTCCTCAATTCGGGTATTTTCGAGCGGTACTGGTCACCGTAGCTAGTCGATGACGCAGGTGAAGTACCCGGATGTAGCGATCCTGCGCCACAGTGGTCGCTCGAGGTCGCCCACTACGAGGGGCATCTGCTACCGCTTTTGCCGGTGATATCTCTCCAAGAGCCGTGAAATGGTGCTTTGGTGAACAATCATGCGTCGGGCAACTGCACGTTGAGACTGGCCAGCTTCAAGCAAACCAATGGCGATATGACGGTTGGCTTCACTTAGACGTGGCATTTTGCGTTCGTCAACGATATTCCAAATACAGTGAATAATCGACAGACAGCTATCAACCTTTTATACCCATCATCTGATCCCCAACTTTCACGTGCATTGCATGTGAATTGTGTATTCTGTGACACTACACGCCGAAATTTAAAATCATGCTGTTAAATACGGGTATTTTATGGATGGTGCGTTTTGTTGTGATGTTTCAAAACATAAACACCATAGGACTCATAAACAGAGCAAAACCTTTTGTAAAATGAATCACGTTTTAATTCATTGCTACATGAAATTGCTATTTTCATGATGCGTTTCTTTTTTTGGAGAGTATATATTCGGTAGACAGGTAACATGTGTTACAATTTTACGTAGCACACATACTGATGTTACCTTAACCCTAAACGTATGTTTCGTCAGCTTGTACAAACTTATCTTAAAACACTTCTGTGATATTCCAGATAATTTATTGCCTCATTCTACTTTATTAACGTGTGTTATTGCAAAATAAATTTGACAAAATGTCCCCTGAGCAGAAAGGGAACATCGTACATTCAAAACAAAAACATTGCATATTCATTACATTAAGAGACACACGCTGTGTTTATGTTGACGACGACGACACAGAGATAGCGTCTCATCGTTTCACGTTTCCTATTATGGAAATGACATGGAAGGAATCAATACCAGCAATATGTCAAGAAATCTATATCGTCTCCACCACGAAATGATCCATGTCGTATCATCGTTGAGCAACCTTTACCCCGACTAATTATCTTCGACCTTGCTCCTTGTAACATCGTGTCATTACATCCAGCACCCCCATTGTTTCAGGAACACTCAACTCTGATTCCTCGCAGAACCTCAACATCTAAAACGTCTTGAAAGTGCGTGCCAAGTCCGTGACTGTGTGCTGGGTACACTATCTGTGTCGTTCATCCAGCCACCATGGACATGAAATTATTGATCAACGTAGCCTTTCTGACAACTTGCACCGGAGAATATATATGCATATGCAAACCCGTGGACAAGACTCCCATTTCCATGGAAGACACAATACACTGACTGTATGATGAGGAATGGCATCGTTTTGCTCGTGTCATTTATTGATAGAAGCCATTACACTTCAAAGACACAAACACTGAGTATTAGGGTGAAGGAATTGGTGCTTAGAGATACTTGGATGTAGGTACCGCATACAGAACAGCAGTTATCTGCGAAAAGCTTTTTGTACAAGTATTGATTGAAACGCTTTTTTCCTGATTGGTCCCATCACATGTGTCTTGTAGTGTAAATATTTATTGGAATGTCTGGAATATTCGATTTACATAAATTTGGAATAGTCACGCAGCTCCTCTGTGAACAATCACTGTCTTCCTGTGCCCTCTTTCCATTAGATTTCCTTGGTGAGATTAACTTACTGTAACATTTGCCAACGTAACAGAGGAGATTCTAGTTAAAAGCAAATGTACTTCGCGACACCAACGGTGATATGCGTCAACGTTGTGACATCCCCAAGGTCGTTGACGTATCCCGTCTGTCACCGAAGCAGCCTAAGCCCCTTTCCCCCATCGCTCCCCTCCTGCACATACAAATACATACACGTTCCCCTTAAGTTAATGGGGACCCAAAAATCAATACCAGCACCCTCGCTCTGTGGAACCGGCAGCAAGGACATTCGTCTCTGAGCCTCGCTGTGCTGGAGTCGTCCCTACGTCCATGTTTTCAACTTCACCATGGGTATATAAGACGTTTAGAGAGCGCATCGCGGACGTCATGGACAAGGTAAGGCTGTTATAGTGCTGGAATTAGTTTAATTCAAGTCAAGATATGCGTGTCATGGATTGTCAGTGTTTTAGATCCTTCCATTCTGGTAGTTCTTGGCAAAGGTCGAAGGCACGTTTGTAGCAATTTGGTATTCTGCAGTGGTACGAGGCACTACAGAAGACGATCCCTTCTCGTAAATACGCTTTCTGAAACAATTTGTTTTATCTCTTACACATTTCACGTGTTTAAAGAAAACTTTGACCTGTATCACACATCACAGATTGATGGTACTGAGGCAAATACCTGAATTCAGATGATTTCACAAGGACGCTACAGGTTTACACACGCTCAATATTACATGCTGCCCTATTTTCGGTGTTTTTTGTTTTCATCATGATAAATGTTGAAACTGAAATAAATCACAAATTTCAATATTCCTGATCAGTGTTTCTTTAGGCAGTGCATTTTCTAATAAACTAGCACACGTCTTCTTCGGATGCGATTGGCGGTGGGATGTTGGCTTATGTCGCACACCAAGTTCCGGCCTGTGGAGATGCCACTTGTTGCCCGGCACTTCTGTAATGTTGTGTCTGTTAAAGAGGTCCCTCTTCCACAGTCTTACTGGGTTGGGATAATTTGGCAGTACCATTACTTACTCTTTCCTACGAGAAATCAATTACGTTAGCATTGTAGCCAATGCATTTAGCCACTGTTATTATAGTAATTCATAACTTGTAGCACATGCATGTAGCCACTGTTATTATAGTAATTCATAACTTTACCTTAACTTTGCGCTTATAACATTTGGGGATCGGAAATTGCATTGATGTGGTGATCTTAATATTTCCTTTATTTGCTCGTATTGGCAAAGATAAAGAAGGGCATTTGGCAAAGACGTTTTACTTAGGCCATCTCCTTCTACTGAGTACCAACTTGAGTGGGAAATATACCAGCCCTTTGGAACCGTCTCAGAGGTTATACTTAGATATAAGTATGAAAATTCAAAGTAACAAACAAGTACTATATGACAAGACTACAATATTCCAAGGGTCAACTTGCCCCCTGTGTCAAGCTATATTAACAGTTCCTGGTCCTTTGTGTCTACACGTCACAACATTTTAGGGTTATGTGACTCTTCATCAAAAGTAGATCAAAACGTGGCTACAACATTCAAGCCCTTAGTTTTATGATGGCCACAGAGGACTTTGCCCTATTTGACGCATCAGTGGCACGTGTCTGATGCAATCCTAAGTTTGATATGTTTCTGTGTTTTTGTAGATGAACAGTTAACTTATACGGCATATGTTGGTGATGGATGCTTACAGGTTAGACAAGATTAGCTCACCTTTCCCAAACACCTGGTGACATCACTATTTAATAGTGAATAATAACACATGTTAATCACGGGTTCTTTATACTTATGGAAATTGTTCTGTCCTTATTATGTTTGTGACAATAACATCAGGGATAATATGGTTGTTAATCCTGGCAATTCATAAATAAACTGCCATTTGGTAAACTGGTCATCGCTGTAATATGGTGAATTCGCTTCAACGTCGTTCAGTAGAACAAAGATGGTTTGTAGACTATAAGACCACTGTAATTCATAGAACATATTTTTTACGATATTTAATTGTACAGGTAGGATTTTGATCTGGTTGTACATATTGTTTCTGATCTTTTACTTTATACCTATGGAGTGTATAACTGTATTGAACTCAACATTATGGTTGGCTAGAGACAACTTTATGTTGATGGCAAAAACCATTGACATGCCATAGATATGTAATGAATACCAATAGCGCAACGTAACAGTGTTTCGATTATTTATGAAGTTGATACCATAGGTCACAATGGCCTTTTATACATATTTCATATACTGATATCAACAATTATATCATAAAATGGAAAAACACATGTAGACGTTACTGCCCTTGGATTCATAATACATTTAATGCAATGGACTAGCTGCCACAGTATAACAGGGGAATTGGTACAGATTGAATAATAGGTAAACCAACAGATTCGATTCTCTATTTCAAAGCTGCAATTCCACCAGTGATGTAACCTCGTCAATCAAAACACATTGCCCGGCTCATAGCTCAGTTCGACGATGAAAACTGGATTTCACTATTCCTCCTACAAAGCTTTCATATCGATTTTAATACTTTCCTGGGATTATTTGTGGCACAGTGCAGTTGGATCTCTACAGTGCTTCTACGTGCCGGGCCATGCACCCCAGGAGGGTTCGTGATGTCGGTTGGTTATGAAGCTGCTGCTGTCACAGCTGCACCAGTTAACAAATAAACCCGGAGGTAATGAAGCCATTGACATCCACGTTCACGTAAGAAACATCTTCCCCACGACGTGGCCTCCCACATGCGGTTCTTCGTGCTTGAAGCTGTTTAATTAAAGGGCCATTTTTTAAATAAATGCCTCGCTGACAGACAGGGTGGTTACATCTCTCCGTGTAGCGTGTTACTTGTTTCCTGTCATACAGAAGGATCTTACGTTGAAAAATCTGAAATATGGAACCTCTACATGTCTGTGATCATGCAGGATATAAGAAATAATTGTCAATTAAGCCATTTTGGTTGTGTTGAATTGTAAGAAACATCCTGCTTTGATGTAACTGTAGAATAAATTAACATTTGATAAGGCAGAATTGCTTTTACTCTTCTGGATCTCTTACTTGGATACGTTCTTCTACATGAATGTCATTTTAAAGATGCCTACATACGGTTATGTTTTAAATGGTTGGCAACGGTATATTGTTGAAAGGGGAACCGTAAAACTTAGAAATGTTAAATACTTGTCTTTGTGTTTCAAATAATTGGTATACACATAACAATGTTGACTATTTATGACCATGAAATCGATAAATAACCACTTGTCATTTAATACAAGTCACGAATATCCCAAATTAGTCAGAATCGAATGCTCCATTCTTGAGTCCAGGAAACTTTTGGAAGCACACAATAAGTCTTGCTTTAACACTGGTATCCCGTCCTCCGTGAGACGCAGATAGATCGCAAATGCCGTTAGCCTCGTATCACCCTCGACATAGGTATATATACCTATTTATTACCTACGAGGGCGAAAATATCGGGGTTAATATTTTTCATATGATGCCCTAGGGCAAAATATCACTTTGTCATGGTGACGTGACGTCATGAAAAATGCTATGACGTCACGTGTCTTCTGCGACATTGCGTCTACATGCGGCGACGGCTGGTAGCCAGCCTATGTTTGAAAGTAGATTTGGGTTTATTTTCAGTTTGACGACTTTGGTAATAAATAGAATATTATATTCGTGTCCAGATCATACTATGTTTACGACACTCGTGCCTAAATATCGGTATATCGCTCGCTCATGCTCGGGAAATACCAACATTTAGGCACTCGTGTCGTAAACATAGTATGACATGGGCACTCATATAATATCCTCTATATAGGTGCAGGGACCTTTCTATAAACGTCTCAGCCGTGTAGTCGAATCCAGAGTTGGTAGCTGTATGCAAGCCTGAAAACAAGTTTCTCACTGTCCCGCTCTTGATGAAGATGTCAAGCGCGCATTTGGACTGTAAACATACCTAAGGGAAATAACTCCAAATTACTAGCTGTCGAAGTCACCATCCAAACTCGGTATTTTACGAGCGCCTCAGTCAGTTTACTGCTACTTACAGTGAACACTACCGCATACAGACAATGCTACTCTTGCCACGTAACAATATCATGCTATATATATTGAGGTGTGAGATGATTGTTGAATCAAAACCAAGGTTTCAGGATGAAGGTGTGTAGCCTCAAGGGTGAAGCGTTCGCTCATCAAGGTGTGAAGCGGTTATGAAGTCCTGCCATTATGTTGCTAAAATACTGCTTAAATCATAATTTAAAAAACATCTATACAGGAAAGTGGCAAATAATGATGTCACGCTTCTAGTGCTAAACCATTGGACAGTGTAAAGCCTCTGTTTTGACCATGACGGTACGAGTGAATGATTCTATTTCACTGCGGTATGAAAACATCAATGTTTGGGCCGGGCAAACCGTTGGCTGACAGCGTGAGCACTGATGACGATTACCTTTATTAGAGTTTGACCACGAATCCCTGTTTCCAGAGGCTCTAATGACAAGCACACATTCGAACAAGGGCAAGAATACAAGACCGCAACACTTACACAGTTTCTCTCTTTGAAAATGGCAGCGGGGTGGCCTACTGGTTACAGCGTTCGCTCGTCATGCCATGGCCCGGTTTGATTCACCACATGGGTACAATGTGTAAAGGCCATTTCCTCCGTGATAATGCTGGAATATTGCTAAAAGCGGTTTAAAACAATACTCACTCACTTACATGTGCACCAACTACTGAGACAATGAGTGACATGGTTCCAGTTATCTTTCATTCTAGTCTTATAGCTTTGATGAAATACCATGAACAGGGTCAGAAGGTTCTATGTTGAATATACCCAACCGGGGTTTACTGTCCGCGAGGTAATACCCTTGTATATATAGTTGTCCCTCGGGGATAGAGCGACATGTATGGATCGTCGCCTTATCTGACCTCAACAAGGTCATGTATTGTGAATGAGGTAAAATGTAATATCGAAGAATGCATTCTTTAGGTATATATTATATTTCTTGCAAAAGAGCATGCCTTTACTGACTAGGTACTGGTGTAGGATCTATGAATAAATGAATACATGGGTGAAATACTTTTCTTTGTTCTCCAGACAGCAGAGTAGTTTACAATGATACCGCTACATGTGTTATACATTTGACGAGGTTGTACAATTCACCGTCTATGTTACTGAGGGGAGGAATGATGGCAGTGCCAGGTCACAGGCAACAGGCAATAAAATAAAAAGAACTGATTTTATGCCTAAAGATTCAGAGTGACAAAAACCAACAAGGTTGTGTGACAAAAGGGATGATTTCAACTTTCCAATAGTCAACTTCCCTTTCATGTCGAGCAATATTCCAACAGTTCCAGCCTTTGGTGTTCTCATTTTACAACT